GAACACACGGTCTCTAGTGGATATATCGATATTGGTTACTGGCCAAATAAGTTGTTATATTGACATATTGGATATTGGCAAAAAGTCCAATATCATGCATCCCTACTTCCCAGGTATAAAATTACTCAAATCTTCCGCATTATTGGGCACACAGAGGAGGGTAGAAAACAGATACACCAAGCAGCTCCTGTTTAGAAGGAGACTTTCGCGAGCGAAGTGGCTAACTTCCGGTTTAGCCCTCCGCTAACTTGATTGGGGATAAAATGATTCAATAATGAGGCTATTGTGACACTCAAAAAAATGTATCCACTGATATACAGCTGTCTCTTTCTTAACTTAAGTCTATGGGGAAAAGTATTTTGGGGTCCAACTTCATTACTTGATGAACCCAGAAGTAGTGATTCCATTGTTTGGCCTCTTAAATTGGAAAATTGGCTTCTAAGCCCAGCACACCTCCAAGGGTCTGGCTAATCTTAGCATACCGACTGAAGCTGTGACTTCCCAGAGTCTGGTAAGCCTGGAAACCCTAGTAAAGACAAGACTCAAGGAAGTCGCTGCTCCCAGCCAAGAAATAATACAGCACATTACTCCCCTTAACATAACTTGTCCTTTTTAGCTTAGCTTAGCATAAACACTGCCAAGAAACAGTCTGCAATCCAGTGTAAAACCACAATGTGTTATATGCAGATTTAGTCACCTTTGAACGGAACCAGCTGTTTCCAGTACTTGCGCTTAGCTAAACTCACCAGCTGCTGATGGTAGCTACACAGTTACTGTATAAACACAGTCTTCTCATCTGACTACCTGAATAAAGACTATCTTGCACTGTTACGATAAGTAATGACAATTAATTACCAAAGATATAATAATGTGCTCTATTACACTAAACGCACGACACAGTATCGCAGATATGCAGTGCTCTTATTGCAAAACATGCAATCATATTGTGCCAGAAATGCATCCTTTAAGTGAGTGGGAATGATGACTAAACTGTGAAGGCACGATGACATATTTACATTCTGTGGGCGGTGGCAATGAGCATAGCAACATGATTGCTACAGATGGATTTCACACCGTTTTTAGTACATATTTCGAGAAATTTGCAAATATGATTTAATGTACTTTCAGAATTTATCTCAACCCAAACAGTGTTTGAAAAATCTAAATATTTTCCTTGATGTAACATCCAAACGGTTTCACGTATTAGGTGAGCACAAATTTTCTTCCTACATTCAAATGCAGAAATTTCCATATTTTTTACAGAACACGAATCAATGTACGCTTAAAAAAGCGAAAAGAATATCTAACCTGGCACCTACATTACCCAAAATGCAACTTCACCAGTTTTGTTGCAGATTAAGGTGTATTATAGTAGAGGCTAATGTAGCCTCGAGCCACTAACTTCAAGCAGAGATAAGCAGCGGCAAACATCAATGTACTGTAAATAATTTCTTGAATACAGAGGTTTTCATATCCCTTCTTTGAAAACAAGCAGCATAACTGCTTCATGGAGAAAGACGTAATGGATCTTTATTAAAGGATTGTTTTGACAAATTGCGGTTAGAGTGCAATGTTCGATTCTAAAAGAAAATGTGAATCCAGAACTGCGACATTGGTCTCTTCATAGTCACCGACATCAGCTGAGTACAAATCGTCTATTTCCGCCATTAGCGTGTGTTGTCAGGTGATCGATCCAGAGTTGGAAAATGTTGTAAGTGTTGTGGACTGTTGCCAAGGATTCAATAAAAAGAAAAATGTAAGACTGGCTAAATATTAAGGCAACGAGTTGAGCCCAAAGCTCCCTTTATTTAACATCAGAATGATCTTTCCAAAGTTTTGACCAGACTGGGAACTGTCCATGGCTATATCCAGAGATGCTGGGGTACATGGTCAGTGTGGGGGTTCGTTGCCTCTTTCCATGAGGCTGATGTGGAATCTCAAACAGAAAAAGGTTGATCCATCTTTTGACCAGTTCGCCCCTTCAAGTGAATTTCCTGTCTACCCTGCAGTCAAAGTGTCTGTGAACCCTTGAGGTTGTTGCTGACCTTGCCTGATAATGCCCCGCGGTACATATATGCTTTGGAAATTGAATCACAACTCCCACAGTCACAAGGGTAAACTGGTGAAACAAACTTTTCTCTCCCTATCTTCTTTTATTTGCTATACACAAACATAGCATAGAGACAAGTCGAAATTTATTTTAAGATATGGGCCTTACATTACTTTTTATGCACTGACAACAGGGAACAGGTTTGCAACTAACAGCATGAGTGTGTTGCCAGATTTGGTGGTTATTTAAAATTCTGGCCTATGAAGACGATTTTTCTTGTAGATTTTGGCAAATAAAAAGCATGACAGTGGCATGAAATAAAAGTAGTGCCACCTACAGTTCTTGGGCATGCAGTTGGTGTTTGTTTATTCCTTGAGTAGCATCACAGGAATGGAATGGGGCTGGGTCTTCGTATATAATTTAAGGCAGGAACCCAGAGCCCCTTTAGAGACAAGTCTAGGAGAAATAGAGCGAGACAGGGAACAGGGGACAGAGGCCGAAAGAGAGAACCCGAGAGCCAGAAAGAGATCCTTTAGTCGCCTGAATCTTCTCCAGCTTTAATTACACTGTATTGATCACAAGCAGGGGGGGGGGTTGAGGTAAGGGGTGGGGGATGGGGTGGTTGACCAAATTGCAGCCTGTAGTTACTGTAAAGCATTCAGAAAAAGAGGCAGAGCAATTATACTGAAGTTATACAGTAGATAATTAGAAAATCCCTCCAACTCTCCTCACTTTCTCTCTCCACACACCCGTTTAGCCTCGCTGATACAATAAAACAGTGAGGGTGTCAAATTCATTTAAGTCACCGGGCAGTATGCATTGTTCACATCCATCTCACAGCTCCACGCTTGGTTTGATTTGAAATTCTTTGCATCGATTTTTTTCTCCCCAGTGCCTTTGGTCCCGTCCCCCCTCGTAATCAACCATAATAGAATGGCCATGCATGACACCTCTGGCTTCCCTGTAACAACTTCAGCTGCATGTTACAGATGCAGAGAGGTCTACTTCTGCAAAGTTGTGCTTCTTCCCTTCCTTTTCTATCTTTTCTAGGTTGACCTACTTTGGCAAAGAGCTTAGGTTCCTTTCTTTGTTTCTCTCACTGTTGTGGCAAGGGCAGAAAATCTGCAAGCTCTCCTACTGTATTCCCCCCCCCCCCCCCCCCCCCCCCCCCCCCCCCCCCCCCACTCCTGATCCAGGGGGATGGCAGCCGAGTCCAGCACAGTGAAATATGCCAGATTCAACCTCACTGCCCCTGCAAAATCGCTCCCGTCGAGTCTCACAGAACTGTATTCCGGGGGTTAAGGAGCTTATGTCTCGTATACGACGCATGGAGAAAGGGGCTGAGCAGTGATTCGCCATGGGAGGGGGGAAAAGAAGAGTGAAGCCTCTCTGTGTAGAGTGTATCTCATTATGGCTGAACTGTGTGTTACCTTTGGTAAACAGTGGGGAACATTTCTCAGGCGAGCGTCACTCTTAAAGCAGCGGGCTGGTAAACGACAGCAGCCCGATAGTGGTGCACAGCCATTGCTCAAATCTACAGCCCCACAGGGATGTATGAGTTTGGTCATGATTAGTCAGATAGAATAAATAATCTGTGCTTATGACAGCCCCCTTCATTTCAGCGGGTGTTGAATGGATGCCCCGTCCAACTCTTTTGTGTTAGTAAATTCCCTCCAGTTATTTTTGCTGAATGACCTTCTCAATCATGAGAAAAGTCAAAAATTCAATTTCTGAACAAGGCATTCATTATCATAGCCCCTTGTGCTCAAGGGTACCTGCCCATTTACACAGCATCAGAGCCATGTGTAATATGGCTGTCCTCCATTTTAATGGCATATTAAAGAAATCAACAAATTAGAGATTCATTAAATAGCTTGAAGGCATCTGACAATATTAATGTAAATAATGTCACAGCAGCAAACACATTATTACGGCATGACAAAAACCAGTGTAGCATGATAATGACATCACTTGAGGTCTTTAAATTATTGCCTGATGCTAATCCAGGCACTCAGCTGGGATAACTTTGATTTATATTTTCACACAACCACATCGGTTAGAGCAGCTGATGTTTGCTGTGACTGAGCAGAGCACAACTGATGTTTCTATTTGCAGTCATCTTCCCAACTTTGAATTGTTGTGACGTTCCGCCACTCTGCACTTCTGTACTGCGAGCCTCTCATGTGTGAAAAGCAAAACAAGAGTAATTAAATCTTCATTTCCTTCACCCCTACAACCACATTCACATCTGTTATATTGAAAAACCACACAGTGTAAAACAGATTCACTTAAGTCTATGCCCCAGTGACTCTTGTAGTAGCGTCGAGAAGCGGGGGAAGCTTTTGTCGGCCTATCCTACAACAGTATAATAATGGCGTCTTGTTTTCATGTTATATGACCCTCTATGGAATCCGTAAATCAAACACTAATTACAACGTGCAGTGACCTGACGGCTGAAATGCTACCTCCAACGTTTTCCACAGGCTAATAGACAGCTGAGTGAATTTGGCATCCAAAAAAAGAGTGCTTCAGCAAGCCGTAAGCAGCTAGGTTAATTAAGACATGCTGACAACTGGTGAACTCTGCACATCATTATGGATCCGCTGCCTAATTGGAAGGAATGGTAATGGTAAACGCATTTTTCTTCACTATTGGGTAGCTGTACTGTTGCTGCAATAAAACCACAGAAAAACCACTGAAGTAGTCCTAAACGTGTTCTTCCAGAGATTTAGTCCACCCATAGCTGGTCTGACCTGGTCTGGCTCAACAGAGCAAAAAAATCTCTCACTGAACACATTAGTTGATTGGTGCAAAGTCCCTAACAAATTTGGGATTGATTAAATTACCAAAACCATTGGCATGCACATGAAGGACCTCTATGATCCCTAGGTTTCTGTTTCCCTGCTTGCTTTGCTCAGATGGCATGTGTACAGAAGAATCCATGTCTTACCTGCCCTGGACTTTGATGTCAGAGATGGCATAGAAGTATCTGGACAGGTTGTTCTCATCAACCATGGTAGCGCCTGTGGCAGGCCTGAGCAGACGGATTCTCAGGTCTGTGATGGTAAAGAAGTCCCGCAGGTTCTTGGTAGTGTCCAGTTGGCCATAAAGCGAAGCCATGTTGTGAAGCCGGGGCCCAGCAAACAGCGCAAAGCGGTCCTTGATCTCAAAGCGCACTGTTTTGTCATACTTCCACACATAACCTCGTGAGTAGTCCTCGGTGCAGATGATGTCCAGCAGGGTATGCTGAGTCAGGTCCTGCACCGTCTTGGGCTCCATGGTGAAGGCATCCAGGCAGTCGGTGGCATAGAACTGGTACGGCTGCCAGGTGCGTCCATAATCCAGCGACTTTTCTAGGACCATCTGCTCAGGCCGGCCAGACTCAAAGGTGAGGATGATGTCGTCGGTCAGCTCGATGGTCTTGTTCCAAGATAGTGTGATGTTGACGAGGAGGGCCTTCGGGTACTTCTTCCAAGATGTGGACTGCCAAAAAGTTGTGGGGTTACGGCCCTCGATGTCAAACATGAGCTCTGGAGGGTGGGCGAGTTCCTCTGTGCTGGCGTCACATTCGTTATTACACATGTAGGGGTTCTCCTGCATAGAGAGGGAGCAGAGGGAACAAACAAAGAAAGAGGACAAGGTAATGAAAGGTTGTTAGTCTTGGTGAGAAATCACAAATCAGGTCATTTTCAGAGTTGATTATGAAGATAGCTCAATGTAAGCACGCTTTTGTCTCTCTCACATACACCACTATGTCATTAGGAGAATCATTTAGGGATTTGTAAAGCCCTAAGCTGAATCACAATGAGGGTATCATGTGCTCTGCTCAGCGTAGTGTGCAGTCATATATGAATTTTTGAAGGAACATAGCTGTATGTTACACATTTATCTTTTAAGAGTCTGCCAACACCTCTGTTAACTCTCATCAGTGCAGCTCATTTACTTCCTCTCAGCTGCATTGTTAAACCATGTCACTACAAATGTCACATCATTCCCAGTCATGAAATTAAGATGTCTGTTTTCTCCTGCTTTCCAATGTTGTAATCACAAGAAGTGTGTGCTGTTTGTGTCAAATGGCCCAAAGGAACACAATTCATAAAATGAATTGCGTTGGAAAAAAAGCAACAGTCTCTTTTTAGTCATGTTTTTTCAGAGTGATCTCATGAGCTCTTCACGTTTCTCCAAGATTCTTAGGTTGCTCTTGTACTGTATTCATTTTTCCCAACTTGCTTCATTAACACTGAGCACATTCACTCTTCAAAACAGGTTGTGCACTTGACTTCTAAATCTTTTGGACCATTTGATCAATTCAGATATAACTTCATTTATAGAGAACTAACAGATCTGTCTATTTTTATCTTTCGTGTCTGATTTGACTTGTGGTTTTCAGAGTTTCTTCGCAAGCTTTAAATTCATCACATCCCTTGCTTGAAAGAGGTCTTTCCAAAAACATTTGTCCGATTTACCACAAATCATTACCAGGCAATGTTCTCTCCTTGCTCCCTGGGGGCTCCATCTAGCTGTCAGGGGGAGGAGGCACTCCTCCAAGAGGACCTTTCAAGTGCTACAAGCTCCAATTTATCAGGACAAGATAATCCACTACTTGATTAGGTGGGAGATGTCACCCTGTGTGTGCGCCTATGTGTGTGTGTGGAAGGGAGCGTGGCGATGTGGTGAGGAAACAGGGAGAAGAGCAGGCCTCTGATGTAAGACAGTCTAATGAAGCGTTGAGGCAGAGATCGAGTAAGTTAGAGTGAGAAACAGCTCCATTGGGCTAATATGCTTTGCAAGTTTTTCCTCGTCCTCCAAGGCAAGGTGACAATGAAACAGGGCTCTGTCAGGCCTTCTGACTGTTGGAGGGCCCCATTAATATCCTGTCTGGACCGTCCCCTACGGGCTTCTCCCAGCACTGGACAGCGGTGGCTGGGAGGAGACGGAGGAGGAAGAAAGCAGACTGACAGCGGAAAATTCCGCTTGGGTTTTAGTGTACCATCTCATGGTGGGAGGTTAGGTGTGCCATTAACTGCAGCATCTGGTGCACTGTGTAGCCACAGACAGATGTGTAATAACTCATAGGCGACAGTTATGCCTGCTTAGGGGGCATGCACACTCTCTAAAAAACACACTTGGCATGCAGGATGGCCGACTGTGTTGCTGTGGCTTGTTGGAAATGTGCATTCATCGAGGGAGACCTAAAACTGTTATTCAATGACGGTGGAGCACTCTGATCGGAGCACAGGTGTAGACTTGGGAGGAGAGAAGAACATGTTCCTTTTATTGCCCCCATTACTTATTGTTAATTACACTGTATTTCTACTGTATCATACTCACTGAACAACAGAGGTACTCTTACACAGGTGGATTTTTTTGTGACAGCACTTCCTCTTTCAAAAGGTGGTATTATATGCTTGAAATTTCAACGTTTTTTGAGACATTTATACTTTAATTAAATCTCTGCCTTGAAATCAAGTTTTCTGTTAAACAGTATTCTATTTTCACATGCTGTAATTATATCCTGACCCTCATTAATGCAGACTTTTCTACAGTAAATTTGCTTCATTCTCATTTATAATTATTGGAGTTCCTTTACTCAAGAATAAGCTGAAATGCCTCAATGTAAAAAAACTCCACTACAAGTCATTGTTCAAAATCTTATTTAAAGAGTAACTTAACACTTTTCTTCGTTAACATCCAGTGGTTTAACTTCTCACTTTGCTGCAGTGATGTACATGTGGACTCCAGGGCCTGTGACATCACTGATCCAGCTGACCAACATATTTTCCATTGCAAACTCATCAAATACCAACGCTTGATCAGCTGCCCTACACATCAGATTATGACACTCTAGGTACCCCTCCAGTGTCACTTTTGGATGTTCAGGGACACCACATTCTCACTTTGACCTTGTCACATATTGACGTTTGGACATGGACTTTCCACGTCCACATTCGATGTGCAAAGGTACCTTAAGTTCTGCCTGTTACATGCATTGTCTTCTTTCAAAATACACTTCCATTTTCACTGGAAATTTAACATTTATATACAGTCTTTTTAAAAATAAACGCACTACATCTGTACAACACTGCAAATTGACGTTTTTTGCCTTCAACAATAAACACGTGGTTAGGTTTAGGAAAAAAGAACAGGGTTTGGCTGTTGAATCTTACGGGATGCGAACAATGCTCTCTCGGGTGAAGGTGGGTGTTTGTTGGACCCATCCACCACCCCTCCTGCCCGCCCCACTCGGACTTTTGCTGCCTTAACTTTCATCTTTGTCCTGCTGTGTTTGCCCCTGACGCCACCGGGTGGCGTTGAACTATAACGGCAACCGGCTGCCTGTCATGCCAACATCACAGGAGCCCTATTTTGGTTGGTTTCTAATGCTACAAGTCACAGCCCAAGCGCCGGTTTTCAACGACTTCAAAGTGAGACCAGGCTCTCAGGGAGGACATGTCAATTTACGTTTGTTACCTGCATTGTGGCTTTTCAACGTAAACTTCCATTTTCATGGAAAATGTACAGTTTCTGCACGTTAAATGCATGCAATCTCTTTTCAAAACAAACTCAGACGGGTCAAAAACTTTGTTTTTAGTTTTACTTCCTTCGATTTAAGCAACAAAGTACGTGGTTAGGTTTAGAAATAAGCTTTACGGCTTGGCTTCAAAAAAGTACGTTTGTTACTAACGTAATGTAACATCACATGACAAACATCACATATCACTATCCTCATTCATATTTTAAGAAGCTACAAATTATATTCAGCCACAAAATAAACCTGAAAAGCTGGAAATCAGAACAGAAGCACAGAGAGTTGTTGTGTACAGATGATACACCGTCTCATTGGTTGCACTGCAAGTAGTTGGCTGTTTCAAATCGTCTCTGTGCAAATCTTTGGTATGAACTGGGCTTAAGATATTACTGGATTATTAACATTGATGCATAAATATATAAGCAGCATTTTCATGTTGTAGCAAGTTCAGGTGAAGCTCATTTTAATTACTTTATCTACTGCTGGGGAAGTTCATCTTGCACAATTTATCATATTGTAAATAATCTTTACAAGTACTGCATGTAAAATCTTAATCTGCAGAGAACATGTAGGTATCAGATGAATGTGGAGGAGCTGAAATATAAAGTAGCAGAAAATGGAAATACTCAAGTATCCTACAAGAAGCTCTAAATAGCACTTACATACTGCTAGTAAATTTTTAGTTATTTTCCTCCACAGCCTATAAATAGAAGCATTTTTTACACTATTAACCCAAAACACGCCCAAACCTCTGCCACAAAAAGACGAGCTGTAGCCTCTACCTTTGACTTTGAGTTAGTAAGCAAACACTACATAGGTTGTCTTTATGTGAGGCACATCTAGTGATCAGCCATTACTGTAACACCCACACACACTCACACACACAAACTGCATTCCTCACCAGCACATCTCTGTAATCAGACAAAGATGTATCCCTATCGATCCCTGTGGCAGAGGAGCTGAAAATCTGCTGCGTGTAGCACCTGGCAACCTCGGCCAGTCGTCCAGCACTCCCCCGAACACACAGGTTAAAAACCTTTCATTACTGTCTCCTCTGCTTCTCGCCTAACGACAAAATACTGCCTTTATGAAGATCAATAATCTCACCGGTCAGAAGAGAAAGGAGATAAAATGCTGAGTACAGCCTCATGAAAATCAATGGCAGATTCCTGTGTTTTACTGCGGGGCACTGCTGAGGGCTCTGTTAGCCGATTAATGGCTTGGCACACATTAAAATAATTGACAGCACTCGGCATGGCAACGCAGCATTTCTGTAATTACAAAAGATGTTTCTATTAATCCCAGTGTGATGATAAGTGGCCAGGATTGGGGGACAGCCATCTCAGATTACAAAGCCAGCACTGAGGTTGCTAGAGCGGATAGGTCACGCTAAATTGGTGCTAATAGAGATGGCGTTGACCCACCCAAAACACAGCGGCTTAATCCGATTATTAGCATTGTGATGCAGTGAGATAGAGTGAGAGAGCGTGTGTGTGCAGGTGGGTGTTCATGTACACTATCATGTACGTTGTTGTGGGTGGATTTCACAAATCATCAGGAAGCTGCTCTACATTCCTTTGGTGTTGTCCCTATTATTGTCAAACTGTTTAGGCTAATTTTACCAGCCGACTGCAGGAATAAAAATCAACAATGCAGCAACGTAGAGGATAATAAATTAGACTAATTCCATTCAGCTGCACTCCACAGACCAGCACTATTTGTAGTGTTTAGGTCACAGGGAAGTGGTTTTCTCTTGCTTTGCCAACCAAGGCTTTCAGACATGTTGCAGACCAGGCTGTTCTCAGTCACTGCTCATACTTAAACCTACAAAAAGTAACACACTATAATTCATATACAGAGCTCAAAATATTTTTTCTTTGCATTTACACACTACAATTACTACATGTAATTTTTAAAATTAGATGTACAAATCATTTTTTTTTACCCCCACAAAAATCTTTTTTATTTTAACTTCACCATTTGATGTGAGGACGTTTTCAATGAGTCACAAAATCATTTGAGCTGACGTTCCCTGTACAGTCATGGCCAACACATTCTCACTCCG